CCAATGAGCCGGTTTTATTTTAATAGAAACCCATTCAAAGAGTAGCTAGTGTCTTCTTGTAAATTTATCATGTCAGTAACGTTCATTACATTTACTGGCAGTAGGCAGATCACCCTTCTATTGAGATTTGCATTTTCTATTTCAACATTAGCTCCAATTACATCCCATTAATCCAGATGGATGAGTGCAAGCTCCCACAGTCACACTGACTTTTGAAGCGTGATGAGTCAGATTACAATCAGCTGTTTGTTTTTCTGTTTATTCATAAATAGTTTTCTGCTCATACATATATATATATATATATATATATATATATATATATATATATATATATATATATATATATATATATATATATATATATATATATATATATATATATATATATATATATATATATGTGTGTGTGTGTGTGTGTGTGTGTGTGTGTGTGTGTGTGTATTGAAACATTTCCCTTTTTTGTAGCCCTTTACCTACTTTTTGGAAACTATCCTGCATTAGCAGACGGAAGCCGGCAGACCAAACCAGATGAAAGTGCGCATTCAGCATCTGCTCTGCCGATAATGCAAGCGTAGAAGAAGAAATGTGCTGTTTACCTGTGCAAAGAAAGAAACAACGAAAGAAAAATGTCTGAGGACTTCAGTGTTGAGGAAGAGCATGAGTTCTTTGCCGAGCTGAATGCGCACTTTCATCTGGCTTGGTCTGCCGCGGTTTCCGTAGCGTCATGAACGCGCCGGCGCGCGCTTTCAGGAAATCCTATACACTACTATTTATGCTCTAAAAACATTCTAAATGACTTCGTTTCGAGTAAATTCTGGATGCTACCCACTCAGGACACTTGGAATACATTGGACGGGCAGTATGGAGGAATATTGACACGTTTTTTGTGGACCTTTATGGACCTTTCTGTCTCGGTCACCATAGACCTCCATTATTTGAATGTCAGCAGACAGCAAGAAGCCTCCCAGATCTCCAGATGCATTTGAGATATCAAAAAAGTACTCCAGAGTGTTGTTCAGCATGGGGGTGAGTAGAAAATGAAGGCTAATCATGTTTTGGGTGTACTATTCCTTTAATGACTAAATTCACAAAACCATGCACTAAGGGCTCTACTGAAAATAGGTTTTACGTGGAGCTTAGTTGTTTTATTCTGCATCAGTGGGAAATGCTTTGTTACTTTATGTCAGCAGATGGTGATATTTTCCCACAGATTTTTCTACTTGATGACCAAAATTTTAAGTCTTGTTGAAATAAATAAGCCTAAATCTGTATGTATATCTACAACTACTATATTTTTTTGTTAAAAGTTAATTATGGATTTTAGTTTCTGCTGTTTCAAACCATTATCTGTCATACAATGTTGAGAAAAAGGCAATCATTCCAAAACCCTAAATATCATGTAGCCTTTTATAATGTCTTTATTTAGTTTTTATAAAATGATTTTATACTGAAAGTTGAAGAAAATAGCTTCTAGCCTTTTGTTGATGGGCTGCACGGTGGAGCAGTTTGTAGCACTGCTGTCTTGCAACAAGAAGGACCTTGGTTTGATTCTCAGTGCAGTTTCTCTCTGCATGGAGTTTGCAAGTTCTCCCATGCATGCTTGGGTTCTCTCCGGGTGTTCCAGCTTCCTCCCACAGTCAAAAAAAAAAAAAAAAAGACTGTTGTGGTCTCTAAAATTGCCCTTAGGGGTGGGTGTGTGTGCATGGTTGTATGTCTCTTTGCTGCCCTCGTATAAACAAGCGACCTGTCCAGGGTCTACACTGCCTTTTTCACTTGGACTGCTGAGGATTGGTACCATCCCTGTCAGATGCAGCAGGAGAAGATGAACTTTGTTGATGAAAAGTATGAACCGCTTTAAATGTAAAAATAGTTTTGTTGTTTGCTCTTTTTAACAAAAAATTGCTCTTGCAATGCAAAGCTCCCATCCAGGCAGGAAACAAAGTCCAATGGATTGTTTTTTTTTTACTTTTTTGGAATGACTATGACCTGGATGACTGAATCTCTTCACCAGTATATGCTCTTGCAATGGTTAGTGACACTGCTAATATTGTGTATAAACTTTAAATAACGTTGTTGCAGTGTTTTGAAGACACACACACACAGGCATAATTTTTATTCTGATGATTTCTCTAAGGTAGAAGTCTTCAGTACTGCAGGGGCGTCGCAAAATGTTTCCAGTATTTGATGGAAAGAGCATCTGCATCCAAACAGATGCAGTGTTGTTTTTACTCTAATAAATTATGTTCTGTCTGGATATTAAATGAAGGCTTCTTGCTTTGAGAGAAGTCCAGGAAAAAAAATTGATCTCCGGCTGAAATGTTTCAAGTTTAAATGATTTTAGAGATAGGATTATTGTGTAGTGTATTAGTATTATAGTGTAGTATTGGGTATTTTAGGTCTTCTAGCTGCAAGACCTAAAATAGTTGAGAGTTTCAGTGGATGGAACTTACAATGCTTCAGTAAACCAGGACATTTTGGAAAATTTCAAATATCCAAAATTTCAAGGAACAATTTTCGAATGCTCTTCCGATAGTAATTCAAATGAGTAAATAAAACCAGATTTAAGAAGACACGGATGAGCAAACTGGTTGTAAAAGAACTGACCTGCACAGAACCATGGCCTCTGCTTGAGAGAACAGCTTCAGGATAAAGGATAATGCAGCCTATGAGGCAGGCCATTTTGAACAACTATACCTGACCTCATGAATTATTCCCTTAAACAATAGTCAGGCACATTAAAGAGCCAGTAGACCTATCCAGAGGAACTGAAAATATGTTGTGATGATAAAGGGAATACCAACTTCACAGTATGATAAGATGTTATCTAAATTAACATGTGCTGGAAGACAAGTTAACTAGTAATCTAATCAATATAGTATATGTTTTATTAACTGTATCTATGCTAGGAGCAAAATACAAATTATAATATATAGGATTGCTATGGAATTTAAATCCCATATCAAAGAGGTTTCTAGAATTTCCCTCTTTCATCTGCGCAGTATTGCAAAAAATAAAAAATAAAGTGTCCAAGAGTGATGCTGAGAAACTAGTCCATGCATTTGTTACTTCAAGGCTGGACTATTGTAATTCTTTACTCTCAGGAAGTCCACAAACTGTAGTTAAAAGCCTTCAGCTGATCCAAAATGCTGCAGCCAGAGTTCTGATAAAAAATTAAAATCCTATCCTAGCTTCTCTTCATTGCTTCCTGTTAAATCAAGAATAGAATTTAAAATCCTCCTCCTCACATATAAAGATTTAAATGGCCAAGCTCCATCTTATATCAGAGATCTGATTGTTCCTTATCTTCCTAACAGAGCACTTCGCTCTTTATCTGCAGGTTTACTAGTGGTTCCTAGAATTTCTAAAAGTAGAATGGTAGATCTTTTAGTTATAAGGCTCCTCCCCTGTGGAACCAACTATCAGTTTTGGTCCGTGAGGCAGACACCCTGTCTATTTTTAAGGGTAGGCTTAAAACTTTCCTTTTTGATAAAGCTTATAGTTAGAGAGGCTCAGGTTATCCTGAGCTATCTCTATAGTTATGCTGCTATAGGCTTAGACTGCTGGAGGATATAGGGACCCCTATTTCATCATTCTGCTTCATTCTATCTCTATTCTCCCACATAAACTGTTAGTTCAATATCTAATGTTCTGCTCTCTCTGCTTTTCCTCATAGTAGCTTTGCCTCACCTGTTTCTGTTTGGCTGTGACTCCATCCTGAAGAGAAACATCAGCTGTGCTGCTTCCATCAACACCTTTGTTTATAGATGTTGGAGATCGGCCTGTTTTCCCTGTGTAGTCCTGTTCCTATGACTGTGACTAACTGGATGTGCTCTCTTCCTCCTCTGACGTGGGAGTTGGTTCGGAGCTCGTCTGCCTGGCTGTGTGTTTCCTTGACAGGGCCGCCTTTTATAGCAGCTTTTTGTATCTCTGCTTCCGTCTCCTTGAACCCCAGTCGGCCTCGGTAGTGAGCCTGGTTCTGCTGGAGATTTCTTCCTGTAAAAAGGGTGTTTTCCTCTCCACTGTCGCTACAAGCATGATTAGTGTGAGGGATTGCATTGGAGTCAGGAGTCAATGCAATCAACTGGTTTTCCTTAGATAGAAAACTTTGAATCAATTTGACTGTATGATCTGGTTGAACTGTAAAGTGCCTTGAGATGACATGTGTGTTGAATTGGTGCTATAATAATAAACTGAATCGATTTGAATTAATATCTTCAGTATTTGTTTACTGGTTGGATATCTTTCCAAAAGCATACATATCAGAGACATATACTGTACTCCTTTCATGTTCTATTTCATTATTTAAAGGTTCAAAATTCTTTAAAAAAAGGTTTGTATATAAAGGTATAGGGCAGGATGTTCATTTTCTGGGTGGATCATCTAAATCAGTGGTCCTGCTAGTTGCTAACCATTGTAGTGATGTGTTTACGTAAAGCCGTCCTACGTGCTTGACCCCTTAGCTTGTCCCGTCTTTCTGTGCATGCACACTTTCAGGCGTATAAATTTTGTGCAACCTCTAGGACTTAAAATACTGTCCATAATCAACTCAAATCCAGAAGTCACAATGGTACATTACTAACTTCATTATTAGGATTTAATGTTTTGGAAGCTAAATATGTATGGATGGTCAGAGAGAAAACAAAATCAGCATTTAGAAAATCACATAACTTTTATTTCATGGAGTTTTAAACCATCTATTTCACAATTAACACAGTGAATATGATCGACAGCAGAAATGCACATACAGGTTGCATGTTTGACTATGATACCATGTACTCAAATGCTACATGGAAGCTTAACATTATGCAAAAGCTCGCATTGTTAACGTGAAACAGGAGGCAAAGCAGCTGTAGGATGTACTGCAGATGGATCTACATATAGGAACACAACCTAACGTTTCCTTTCGGATACACTGCCATTTATACAAAAAGAGGCATTTATGTACACTGATCATTTAATATGTACAGTGTTTAAAAGGAGCAACTATTTTTTTACTGAGCTTGGCGAAGTTTGTGGTGATGAGCTGTAACTGATTATTTTTTTCAAAGCAAGAAGAAAGTCATGTTTTAGTGACTAAATGCTACATGTTAATAATTTCATGTGCCGTTTACACCATGCAATGTAATACAGTGACAATACCTTTAATGAAATACTGAACTTATACACAGAGGTGCTTGAAAGTTTATATACCCTCCCCTTAAAGGAAAAGACCAATTCACACTAGTTATTCAAATAACATAAAACTAAAAGAGGTAATAATAAATAAAAATAAAAACTAAATCATAATATAGTAAAATAAAATATTAATTTCCAAGATTTGGTAAAAAAAAAATTATTAAAAACAAACTATCCCAGATTAATTAAGGTACCTTGCTGATTAACATTGAACTAACATACCTGCCAACAGGTGCAGAAGTCTGACTGAATATTTCCTGAACAAGGGTATTTAAACTTTCAAGCACAACTGTGAAATAACTTCACAAGACAAAAATACAAAAGAGAAAAACTTTCCGCCTATTCTTACTGCTGCTTGAAATGCATTTATGTGCCATTTGGGGCACAACATCAACTATGTGCAGTAATGATAATTGTGTATCTAAAAGCTCTTTTATCAGAAGGGGTTACAATTTAAAAAAAATATTTCTCTTTATCATATTGTACTTGGAGAGGTATTGTAAGCAGAAAATCTCTTTCAGCAGTGTTTTGTTTTACACATGTCTTACATTCACTATAATTCAGTATGAAAATAGTTCTTAATTCCACCTGACATGAACACATTCCTTGTTAAACACCAGTAACCGAACGCCCCCCTACGTCGTACATTAATCATGACTAAGAATCTATATGATTTGACAACCACAATCAACAGACTGCTTATATTAGCTTGATAAACCTTTTGCACTTGTCTGCTGGCAAAAAAAATATATTTTTGAGTTTCTGAAGAGATGTGATGCATTGTATCCATCTTGCCTGGTTCATGAAGAAAGCTGCTGTGCGTTGTTGCAGGATAAATTTTTTTAGTGCATGAAAAAAGTTAGATCTCTTTTCATATTCACCAATACATTTAATGTAGTTATTTACAAAACCAAATAAAAGCTTTATTGCACATTTAAAGAAAATTAAAATGTAAAACGTAGTTTTTTCCTAATATGTTACTTCAGTAAAGTGAGGCTAAAAAATACATTTTTTCCGGAAGTTAAACAACAGTCTGTATAATTTAGGATTTTACAGTGAGATATTTTAAGATTTAAAATTATAAATATTTACATGAATATGAATCAACCTTTTTCATCACTTCCATCATATAAGCCTGTAAAAAAACTTCCTCATAAAAAAAGGAAGAATTGTATAAATAAAGCTGATTTTGAGTGTGTAATTTATTGTCTCCCCAGGGTTTGGACTTTAATACATTTGAACTGAAATAGGGTTCTGAACGTAATGTAAACATGCTCTTAAAAAGGGTGCGCACATCATATGTGCAGCAGCAGAGCACAGCTCTTAGTGCATTTTAAATAGGAATATCATGATATCACTTAGCAAATACACATTGTGGGTTACCAGTCCTGAGAAAGTTTCCTCCACACTTAAAGTGGACAACAATACCGATTGGTTAATGCTTTCTATGTAAACTTGCCTTCCATATGTTTGTATTTTTCATTTAACATGCATATTTTGCAAGTTAGCTTCAACTATCATCTCATATAACCTTCCTCTTTTGTCTGAAACACATAAAACAGTCTCAAGTTTTGCTTTTTTTTGCTTCAAAACAAAAAATTATAACTACAATTTAGCGATTGAGCGAGCAAAGTGAACTCAGGCCATATTACAATCATCCTAAGTGAGGACTTCAGGATGGATGATATCAAATTATTTGACGACATGCCAAAATATGGGCAGAAAAAAATCAACCCTAGTGGATGCTATATCACATAGGCCCGATGCCTCAGCAGGGGGAGGATGACATCTGTTCATACTCTGGACATTTAAGGAGGGCTGGATAGTTGGAGGAGTTCATCTGCAGGGAGGCCTCAGAGGAGATGGAGGAGGGACTGCGGCCACGTCCCGCCCAACCGTCCGGATGGAGAAACTGGCCAGAGTAATCTGAGCAATTGCTGAGGCGAGGCCTGTAGAAGCCCTGATTGGGCCTGTACATTTCCTCCGCTGTGTATCGCTTCATGAACAGGTACACTGACATGACACCTGCCGTCTGGAAGATATACGAGATAATAAGTGAGAGTCTGGGTCAGATAGAGTGAGCTATGTTTTACATTATCAGCTGAAACTGTACAATACTTTGGATACTTTAAATAGTTTTTTCAAGTGGTGGCTGGAAAACACAGATTATTAGGGTGCCCATCAAAAATAAGAAAAAGGTATTTCTATGAGGAAAAAAATCTCTCCCAAAATATTTAAGTAGTTTTTAGTGAGATGAGTAAAAAAAAACACTTATTGTGTAAATTAGGATGGTGACAAACTATTGTGAATTAAGAAACCTAAAAGACTGTTAAATCATTGGCATCGACTGCATACTAATAACTATCCAAAGGTTAGTATGAGCATTATTATTGCACTAGATTTTATATGATATAAAACAATATTTTTTTATATATCTTATATGTACTTATTTTCAATAGTGTTCATATTATATATATATATATTATAATTATAACATGTATATGATGGTATCAGAGAAACGGCTGATGGAAAATTGATGCAACACTTTTCAGATTATTTTGTAAAAAAAACTATCCAGCTTTCCAGTAAAAAACCTTAACGTTTGTTGCCGGAGTATAACAAGATGTGAAAAAGGATAGGGACCATAAATTCTTTAGCAAGTCCCTTTAAAATAGAAATGGAAGAGCCATCATTAAGATATAAAATGTTAATAATGAGGTTTACCTCAGTGAGCAGGAAGGAGATGGCAGCAAATGCAAAGGACCAGCCGTATTTGTAGCTGAAGTAAGCCTCATTGGACTTGGTCCTGTTCAGCATTTCATCATTAATGTTTGAGATGTACAAAACCAGGCCAACGACCAGAGACAGACCTATGGGATGACAAAGGAGGAGAGAGGCCAATTAAACCTAATATGGAAGCATTTGTCATGGATTTAATCCAAACACATAGATTTGTTAAACTAAGACTCCTCGCAAGGTACCTGAAAGGATGAAGAAGATTCCAGACACGAAAGCCAGGATAGTACGATGTGGTCGAATATGGCCGATGTTACTGAGTACAAAACCAATGAACATGAAGAAGAGGCTGACCAGAGGAAAGGGTGTGGCAGAGCGGATCATCTCTAAAACCAGAGGAGAAAAGAATTAAACACAAACAACCAACCGACTGATTTAAGAGAAAAAAATTTAAAGTATTCTTTTCCATGTAGTTCACTAAAGCATAATCTTTCGAAGATTTGATTGACTTTCTAGTATCTCCTAATAGGAATATCATGTCTTTCCTTTTAAATTTTGTGCAGCCAGAATTATTTTTTATTTTTTTGGAAAAAATGTTAAAGCACAACCTAAAACAGAGGAGCATAGAGAGCATGGGCTATTTATTTCTAAATGGATGCTTAAAAAGATGTGCAAAAGTGGGAATGTCTGCTACATTCTTCGTAAATAAGTATTAGTTTTTTTGTAGAATGTTTTGTAGAATGTTGACATTGAGAAGATTTAAAGTTGTTTAATTCTTGTTTTCGAGATATTTTATCATATATCATATAAATAAAAAAAGATTTTTTTCAGATAAATATGAATATTTTAAAACGTTTTTTTTTATTTCAGTAATACAATTTGGAATTTGGAAAGAATATTTAGCATATTGTCTAGATCAATAAAAAAATATATTTTTTAAGGTGTGGTTCTAATGAAAAGCATGTTAAATATCTTCTTACATTTTTTCAAAAAGTATCACTCAAATTTTTTTGCAAGTCTGGAGGCTTTGCAGACTTGGCTGTATACCAAGCTTAGATTCATATGTACGGTAAGAATGAAACAGAAGTGTGGCCTACATAGACGATACAATCAAACTAAATTTTTATTGATTTGTTACAGTAATTACCGAAGAATTATCAGCTTTTATTTAAAATGCTGGCTTGTCTAGGAAAAACTTTTATGTTACATAAAAATAAATCACCAATCAGCAGTTCAAGCTTAAGTTAAAAAAAAAGGCTCACTGAGATATATACCCTCTATAATGTCACAGTGTGCCCACAAATCTTATGCATTAGTGAAATATTTCACAGACATTTTACAGTGTGAGATCACTGCAATATAAGTTTTTTTTATATTTGCTGTATGTTTTAATAGTTAGCAGCTTGATCTATAGCGACTTAGAATAAATCTATAGATATTAATAGTCCAAATGAGAGCAATATTACCACCTTAAGACAGTTGGTATGTATGACAACCAAGGATACAAATATCATGGTTATGTCCCTTGTCCTTCACGTCTCCAAAACATTTATACAATAAGCATAAAACTCACAAGTATGAAGGAAAAAAATACAACAAGAATAAAAAAAAAATCAAAAGGTAAACAGAGTACATAATAGAAAAACATATACAAAAAAATATATTCCTAGAAAATGTATGAGTTAAACTCTCAGTAGTGATCTTTAATTTTAAATTGTATTTTCTCTGAGGAGTATCATCAATTTTATCTCAAGTAACAGTTTTCGCAGAAGATCAGCACCTTTATAACACCACCAGCCAAAAAAAACATTTCCAGTTGACTCGTTGAAATAAGTTAGTTTAACTCTTAGCATAAAAATGAGTTTGTGTGAAATATTACTTACTGAGTACACTAACAGTAGACTCCGATGTTATTTGGACATTTGTTGGCATCACATACTCAATGGTAAAACACCGGCCTTTCTCTTCCCCTGTAAATAAAGGAATAAGGAAAGTATTTAATAAAATTGACCATGAATCACAAAAAAGTTTTCAGCATTAATAATTGACTAGACAACAAACAAAACAAAGCAGGAGTGAACAGTGTTAGGTAATGTGTAATATACATCTATGATAAACCTGTGTTTAACTGGAGATGATTTGTGACTATGTGAAGAAGCGTCTCGTTATGCTCTCTGTGAATCTGCTGGAGGGATCTTAAAAAGAAATATCAGCTTTACAGGCTGGCCAACAGCTTTTAGCTGTCAGCACATGTCTGAAGAGCACCCAACATTTGATTTTAACACCTTCTTTTCAAACACACGCTGTCAAATCTGACTCTAACTGTTGTTCCTTGGCACTTCATTAACCCCAAACACAGTGAGGTGTCAGAAGAGGTGATATTTGATGAATCAGCATTTATAGCTTGCTTTCAGTGCATAACCTGGTAAAACACTTTGTAATGAGGGAAAACATGTATAAATAGTCAGGAAACAGCAGGGGTTGTTTCCATTTTTTAAAGATAAACCAGTTTGTGACTTTTTGCTATACAAACCGAGTAATTAAACAAACTTTCATTAATTGGCAGCCATGTTATTTCAGGTAATTTTATGTTTGAATTATATAACAACCGAGGATTTTAGCTGATCTTGTTAGTTGGAAAGATGATTATTTACATTTAAAGCATGAAACTTAGATGATTAAATGCTTAAAATGAATTTTACCAGCTGGTGTAAACTGTCAGACTTTTACATGAACAGGACCTTTAATTAGAGATACTGGGTCAAATACTGATGAGCACTATAGCTAAATGGGCAATAAGGCCACTCAATATTCTCTAAGAGATAAATGTTGTTAATGTGTGTGGCCTACTAGTCCCCATGGCCTGGCTTTTACAGGGTAACATTCGTAATTGAATCACAGCTGGATTTGGACCATTGTTTACTATGACTGAATGTTTAAAACTAAAACAGGACTAGTTAAGTAGAGGGTTAATAAATTATACTTTGGAAAACTGGCCAAAGTATTTCACTGGTGGACTAAGTCAATATCATATTTGCAAAAGAGTGAAATAATGGTGGTAGACTGCAGTTATAGGAAGTATATTATATATTTGGGGGATAGCTGTCTAACAGATGTGAAACACACAATGTTAACAATACAAAAAAAAAAAAAAACCTGATGATGAGATAAATCTAGGTAGACTTGCAAACTATAAAACTATCAAATCAAACTATATTGGATAAAATTAAGAGAAAGTCACACTGCAAAAAAATTTATACATTTCAAAAAAGGAAACAGGTATCAGCTTGAAATAAACTCTCACTGAACTGAAAGCCCACACAGTCTATAAAAAGACATTCATACAAACATGATTAAAAGTGAAAGAAATGCTGTTAGTCTGAATTACCTGAAAAACTGAAACATTTCTGTTGAGAAAAGTCGGTGCTTTCTGGAAATGTACCTTTATTTGAAACAAAATCTGACAGCCTGGGTATATAAAAATGTGCTTCTTTGTTATGTTCCCAAATAAGCCTGGATACAGCTCAAAGTGAAAAAGTCAAAAATATAAATATGAAGTCATTCTACAATTGATTTCACTAAGATTGTAGATTTTCACAAGTTTCTCATCACTTAACTGAGAAATTATGAGTAGGATACGTTTTAGGTTAACTGTATCAAAAATGTGGCTGCAGAGCCACATGTTAGTAGGTGATGAAAAGAATCACTTGCACTGTTGTATACTATGTGTTAGATTGATACCTGACATAAAGCTCAAGGGGACCAAAATAATGAAAAACAAAACATGAAACAATAACTTAAAACATCACACTTCCAATAAATCTTGGCATCTCTACTTAGACTGCTACCTCCAAGACCTGAACCTGGATAAAGCAGAAGAAAATGGATGGATGGATGGATGGATGGATGGATGGATGGATGGATGGATGGATGGATGGATGGATGGATGGATGGAAGGATGGATGGATGGATGGATGGATGGATGGATGGATGGAAGGATGGATGGATGGATGGATGGATGGATGGATGGATGGATGGATGCAGATAAAACATAAAATAACAGTAATAATGTTAATTCTTGTTCTTTTATCACAGAACTCAAAGCCCACTGAAACATATTAGTCCTGTGTTGTATACAATAAGCACTCAATACTTCAGTTTTTTCTACAGGTGCAGTAATTCCACCTATTGAGTTTGATAAAACCAGGCTCAACAACACCAGCAGAAGAGAAGAGATATAAAAATCATCAGAAACTCTGAAAACAAGGTGAACAAGGTGTGCCTTTCTGCTCTTTGTTGGAACTCTGGCAGCTTGCTTTCCACTTGGCATTGATGCAGCTTTTTTTCTCATCAGCATAGAAAACATATTTCTGACATAGTCTTTGGTTCAGAACTGTTACACAAAGAACACCACAGCTATATATCTTGCTTGTTACATCCATGAGCAGAGAATCTTGAAGCACATCTCCCCCAAATCCTTCCAAACTACAATTTCTTTTTCCTTGACTCTTACTAACACACTTTATTCCATTGACCGAGCTTTCATTAGTTTGCATGAATTTAGAACAATGTGAACAATTACTTCTTGTAGCTTACACTCATTGTGGAAGGTTTCAGCGACTGCCCACCGTAAATGCCAAATGAGCAGTGTTCCCCATAATTGTGTGGTCCACAGCATGGGCATAACATTTTTGCAGAAACAATCATTTTTTTTTCACCTAATCTTAACGTAATTTTCTGAGAACCTCAGTTTTGAGATTAATTCAATGAAACCAATATAAATTTAGTAGCCTACATGAAACATCACTGTGTGTAAAGCATCTGTTTAATATATGAATTTTACTTCAGCTGAATCACTGAAATAAGTCAGCTTTTTGATGACTAATATTTATTGAGACACACCTGTATCATATTAATACAGTTTCACTGAGTACAGAAAAGCAACTACTCTAGGAGAAAAATGTTGCCTGGAGGGTTCTTACTCTAAAGATAAAAAAAAAAAAAAAAACTAACAATTAATGCCTCTCTTGTCAGTTACTAAAAAAAAAAAAATGCTTGACGTTCCTTCATGGCAATTGGGAAGGAACGATTAGCTGTATGGTTGTTAATCATACATATAACTGATTTATTACTATCTAACTGCTAGATTAGGATGAATAGAATGAAAGGAAGAAAAAGTGGGATTCAGAAAAAGGTATATCCAGTGGCAGAGATTTTAGGTCAGGTGTGGGTTAAGCTGTGGGGAAAGAGTCATGTGCGGCCATCGATCAGCTAGAAATAAAAATAGCCGACAGTGTCTAGGCCAGTGGTTCCCAAAATATTTGTCCCCAAGGCAGACCAAAGGATAAATAAAAATTCAAGGCACACCTGTTGTGTAAAATAATAACTATACAACATATTTCATATAAAAATGTAAACTTTATCAAATTGTACTCAATCAAACACTCGTTTAAACCAAACAGGTTTAAATTCAGAACTGTCCATGAGAAAGCTGCACTGTTCATGGTCCTGAATCTGACCCACAAATGATAACTATAACATTTAGAATCAGCCTTCCATGTGCTTTTGTAAACATTTCACCAACTAACAAATTGGTGGGACACATGTGCCTGTCGGTGCGCACACAATTTTTTAATCCTTGGTGGCAATGAGGAGAGAGCCAATCGCAAGCCCTGCTCAGCAGAGAGTGAGCTGGTCTTGTTCTTCATGTAAATAAGGGTGGAGAATGCCAATTCACACAGTTAGGGGGTGGAGAAATGAAGAAGCTAGTTGACAGTGTGATGAGAGATAGTTGGGTATTCTGATGTACAAACAGGCCAAAATAGACTGAGTGGGAGCTCACTGGGAGCTCACTAAATTATAGTTTCAGTGTGCGGTCTGCACACTGAGGACTTAGACTCTTGGTTGAATGGGTCTCGGATCCAATCATAGTCCTTGATGTCTGCTACATGTGGAAAATAATGCTCAGACCTATATTTTAAGGTCTGAAGGTGTTCAGCATATACACTGCACTCTCTGGCTGCATGCCAGTGGGAATATGTCCATAGGACCCTGTTCCAAAGACTCGCGCCAAAGGGTCAGTTCGCCCATAAAACCCTGAATTTTACCAGTGGATGATAAGATGTTTTCATTCCTGCCCTGAAGCTTTGCAAAACTCATTGAGATGTCCAAATACGATTGCAAGATAAGCATGGTGCACCACCTCTTATCCAAAAGCCTCTCCTTAGATGAGACATGTGTTCTCTTGAAAATTCAAAAGCTCCTCCAGAAGCTCATAACGAGGGGACAGGTCTTTCCCCTGTGATTTTTATCTCCTGCCAGTCCTCTGACCTCTGATACCGCAGCGTCTAGGACTCTCTGGGTGGTATCTTCCGCGTCTTGTTGGCAGCCGACCTGCTGGAACCAATCTCACCATTTGGGCTCGGACTAAACTATAAGACCAGGTTAGTGACTAGGGGTGTAAATAATAATCGTTTTTTATCGATGCATCGATCCAACAGCCGACGATCCGATGCATCGATACGTCTGCAAGAGTATTGATTAATGTTTTTTTTTTTCTTCCGGTCTATTTTTATCCATTTGCTCCTGGACATAATTCTCCCTCCCGTGCTACGGTGGCGCTAAACCTATTTTGCCCTCCTACCTCACTTCCTAGTTATACTCTTACAGCAGTGTGTTGCAGTGAGCTTGACACAGACATTTTTGATTTATGCTCAATATTGAAGCGTGGTCTGCGCTTCACACTGTGGGTCTAGATAAGGCTGAGGCGGTGAGGAAGTGGGGGCAAGTTTGTCCAACGACGGACGGACATGAGGGCCAAAAAGAGCGGAGATCCAGGTGGAAAAAGGGTCCCAGTGTTCTCGCGCACCTCGCTCTTCTAGCGGGTCAAACTTCACCAGTTGTTTTCAGCAATTTCGGTCATGAAAACAAAACAAGCCAGTCTCCTGTCTGCGGCACTGTTTACGGTCAGCTACAATTTGGGAGAGGTGCAGCGGAGCATCTGTGGAGGGGGCGGGGACGTCTGGAGCCGAGGTATTGCATTGCACTCATTGCACTGATTTTGTGCAGTATTTTTTGATGCAAAGCCTTTCAGAATCTATAACGCAGGGGCATTATTATTTTTCAGTGAATGAGGTTTTAATAGGAATAGGTGGAGTGCAACTTCTCTACTTCTGTTATTTGCTTTTGTTTCTCAGAAAAAATGCATAAAGATATTACAGCTTTCATTGATTTATTTCAAATTTGAAACATTGTCTAGCCTGTAAGGTGTAAAAAAAAAAAAATGAACCAATTAATGGGAATCGTATCGTGGTGTATTCTTGAGTATCGAAAATAATCGAATCGTTGGGTCAGGAAATCGATACTGAATCGAATCGCCATGATGGATGTGATTTACACCCCTATTAGTGACTCGGACGTTTGTGATCATCCGCCGCCAGAGAGGCGTGGTCATTCACCTGTTGTCTCCTCCTGCAGATGTTCCAGCCTTAGATGTTGTTTTTAAAGTGTTCACTTTGAACACTGGGTCCTATTGATCTGAGTTTGAAAGCCATAGTTGTCAAATTTTGATCCTAATTCTGGTTTCACTTCTAATTTCTGGTTAATTAAGACTACTATTAGGAGGGTGCAGTTAGAGCAGCTGGCATAGAGGAGAAGACATCAGCTTCAAGATTTTAATTGACATTAAAAAAGTTTTTGGACCAAAAACATCATGACACTAAAGTCTCACTCTTGTCATTTCCGGATTCGACCACAGTGAGCAGTGCTTATATTTTGTTACCAACATTTCTTTTTCCAATTCTCATTTCACATCCTCTTTACCGGCTCTTCTCTTATCCTCCCTTCAGTTGGGGATAACAGGAGGGTCATTTATTGTCACACTAATAAAGGGGTATGAGCTGATCTTGAAGAGAAACTAAGAGCAACCAAAATAATGTCTCCTTTCCTAAACTGGTGTGTTCATTGCACTCTAATGCCATTTTATTCTTATCAAGCATAAAACAATGAAGCAAACAAAAGAATATTTCTCAAATAAAATGTGTTTTCACATCATTTCATTGTTGGAATATAGCATTTTTTCAATAGAAAACATAAATTCTTCCAATATAGAATAAAAGCAATAGGAATATCATATAGTACAATAACAACAAACATGTTATTGTCCATCTGGATGTATTCTGATGTGCCTTTCTTTCATATACTTTTGAATGAATGTTGATAGTTTATAATGCTTTACACAAGCACTCTTTATTAAACATTTCAAGATCTGGGAACCAGTATTTTCTTTTTGGGTTGGCCCTTGACATGGTTGTAAATTATTATTTAGCAAAAAAGAAATAAATACATAACAAAAATAATGTCAAGTTTCATACTTTTCAATTACATTTTTTAATTTCTAAATAGTACTCAAAGAGTATATATGTCACTAATTCCTGATGAGTAAAAAAAACAAAGCTGCTTTATTGATTTAGGACCATTTTTCACTAAAAACCTATAAGAATAGGCCTTTTTAAAACAAACTTGATTGTCTAAAAAGCAGCGTAATTTAATATGAGTGTACTAATCCTCAGTAGCTGTTTTGGCAGTTACCTACATACATACCACCACGTATGGTGTCTATTATCACTGGGTAAAAAAAAAAAAAAAAAAAACCTCCATCCAACATTTATATCACTTTGCACTTAAGAGATTTACTTCAGCGTTTTGCCTCATGTGCCTCGTTTTTTTGACATCACACAGTATCAACTCACCAGCTAGGAAACAAACCCTCCAGAGACCAGAGTGAAGGGACATGCGCATCTCCATGCTCTGGTTGAGAGGAAGGATGACCCCCTCTTCTAGGTAGAGCCAGTAGTCTGTGCTCACGGCGATTCCCAACAGGCCGAGGCCGCAAACAGCGAACACGCTGCTCAGCAACGTCAGCGCTTTCCTTCCGAATAAGCTCATACCAAAGCCTCAACAGCAGGAGTGCACAGCTGGCAGAAAGTGGAGCTAAGAGAAATAAAGAAATATAGTAACAAATTAGGAAAACAATACTTTAATGATCACATTAAACCTAATGCTGGTGAAGATTCTCAGTCATCCAGGTCATACTCATTCCAAAAAATTTAAAAAACAAACGTCTTCAAACTTTGAAAACACAGCCCAGTGGTTTGTTTTTTAACTTTTAAAACTTTTTGGGATTTAAACCTAATACAAACATTTTTGATTAAGCTTAATGTTTTTTTTAATTTATTAGTGATTTTTTTTTCAATACAAACAATATTAATGATTACTCCCTGAAAGAAATTATTGGTAACAACCAACATCGATCTTCATGTTATCATGTTTATCTGTTACCACAGTAATTGTCATTACAGTCATTATTTTCTCCTTATTGCAAACCAGAAATCCACAGCAAACAGAGAGAAGGCAATAAAAAGGTTATGCAACTTGGGCTTTTTCTTTTTTTCAGATGAGAAAAAGACGATTTGTTTTCTTCAACTTGCTAAATTATCTTGTTTTAAGGACAAAACTTTAAACTAATTAATACAATTATTGTGCTAAAAATAGTACAAAAGCTGGTCATGCATTCATTCACTATTAAGAAATTTAAATAATTTTTCTTTTAACCTCAAATTAATTTAATTTTACTTTAAATTATAATTGCCTTTTTTTCGTCAAAAATAAGACCAACATGTGAATGTGTCTGGATCAGCTAATGACTGTAGTCAGCATTTTCCGGAAGCTGAAGCCGGAGACTGGCAGACTCGATGAAAAGAACTGATTTCACATAAAGAGTTCTCAGTATGCTGTCACACCAAGAACACAGTGAAACCAGGAAGACGGAGGAAATGTGTGAAAGGATTTTCAACCTTACAAAACACATCTGGCTTATGATGGATCAATGCTTTGTATCACGGCTAAATATGAATCTTCGGTAGAATAAAGATGAAATATCTTCATAACTGTCATCTTAGAAATGCAAGCTAGTGTTTCGACCAACAGAAAACTCACCAGGTTCATGTGTGGTGAATATGGTCAAGAAAAAGGTTTTTTACAACATTTCTTTCTAAAAGAACACTTAAAGGTTAAAAAAGGTTGTTTATTTTATGAAAACTTCTTCAAATGTTCACAGAAAGTTTGGAAAAGTTAGATTAAACTTCTAGGGAGTTAAATTCAACTTTTTTAAATTGTCTATTTTGGTCAACATTAGATGGAGTTCAAATAACCATTCATGGTGGCAAGGCTATATATATCTTAGCCGCAGCTACAATTCTTTGTAGCACAACCACATCCCTGAAGTCACTTTTGTTGTTGATATAGAGAGGTGCGGTCTTCATAGCTCACCCGGCTAACAGAGCTAGTTCAACTTTTAGCAGTTGTCTTTTTGGAAAAACAGCTTAAACCTGCCCTGCATCCTGCCTCTCTACTCACTAGCTTACTATGTAAAGCAAACAATCAGAGTTGGCAAGTTACTTCAGAAATGTAATATATTTCATATTCCAAGTTACTTTTGTTAGAAAGTTTTTTTAAAATTATTATCATCTGTGTAAATTAATGTTATTAAATACTTTTTTGGTTACTTTCACCAAAAATATTATATCAGAAAAATGTAATGATACAAAATATTGAAAAAAACAAAAACCTTTACAAGACATGACACAGCTCTCTTTCTGTGCCTCATTTATTAGCTTTTGAGTGCTGACTCTCAATCTAAAAAAAAAGTAACATTTCCATGAAATGAAACATAACAGTAGTTTATACCATTTCTCTTTTCTTTTTTTGGTCCTGTTTTGCCAGTATAGCTCTGGGAATAGATGCTCCTAACAGATAAAAAAAAAAGAAAAAAGAAAGAAAGCCCTGTTCTCCTCTTTATTTAAGCTGTTTGCTTAAAGCTCAGAGGCGTTACCCTCCTAAGGAACTGTAAAAAAATATTACCGAAATGTTACTGTAAGGCATTATATTTCTTCAGTACTGCGTGAACATAGTATTTTAGGGTAATGTTTTACTTTTGTCATGTGTCACCCCCAAAACTCCCAACAATGTCCTTCATTAAAACTTGACTCCCCAAGATGTGGTCCTCAGACAAACTTACAGGGCTGCACAAAAACATTCCTATGGTGTAAGTGTACAACGCTGGTTGAGTTGCGAAAGCGTACGCTCAGTGGCAGGGGAGGAATAGTAGAACAGACCCAACAAGGCTGGAAACTGAACAGTACTGGAAAGACATATAGGAATGGAGGAAGCACACAACAGTGATGCACAGTTGTTGGTGGCTCTGAGAGATGACCTCAGCAACCTCCCTAAACAGAAATAAGTCAATATCACAGTGGAATACATCCAAGAAAGAGTCTCAGGTATGAGAAACTGGACAGCACCAGGCCCCGGCATGATACACGCTGAATGGCGAACCGAATGGCACACAATCCTACACTGGTACAGTCCCATCCAACTACCGGCCAATACACTCCCTCTCCACAATGTGGAAACATGGCACATGGATCAATATGTGAGCACAGCTCAGAATGGAATTGGTAAAAAAAAACAGAGGTGCCAAACATCAGCTTCTGGTAGACAGAAAACAGTTGTTTGAGTCTGAAGAATCTGAAACACTAACCTGAGCACTGTCTGGATTGATTAAAAGAAATCCTACAATTAAATGCCAAATACTTGGATCATTGAATGCTTGGAGCTATACACCAACAGGACTCTAAGTGTCTTTATTGCAAACTCAATGAGGTTGTGGAAAACCACCCTTGAGGCCAATGGCAAGATACTTGAAAGTCTCCATCAAATGTGGTCAAAGTAGGAAACACCTCTAGAGACGGATAGAGAATGACCAACCCAATGACCAAGCCAAGATCCTGTGGGACCTCCACATACAGACGGCCGAATGGTAATGCAAACCAACCAGTCATTGTGGTGGTGGACAAAATGCAGAAGAAAGCCGTTGTGGTTGACATAGCAATACCAGGTGAATGCAACATCATTCTAGAGAAACTAGAGACATACCAGGGGCTCATAGAAGAGCTGGAGAAAACCTGGAAGGTCAAGGCATCAATGGTACCAGTGGTCATTGACGCACTCGGGGCAGTGACTCCCGAACTTCAGGAGTGGTTACAGCAGATCCCTGGAAATACATCAGACATCTCGGTCCAGAAAAGTGCAGTTCTAGAAATAGCAAAGATACTGCACAGAACCCTCAAGCTCCCAGGCCTCTGGTAGAGGACCCGAACTTGGAAGAAAAAAGGGAGACCGAATGGAATAGTTATTTTTATTTTATAGATAGATAGATAGATAGATAGATAGATAGATAGATAGATAGATAGATAGATAGATAGATAGATAGATAGATAGATAGATGCAGATTGTATGCAAACCTAGAGCCAGTATGGTCAGACTTTAATAATGCTCCTCACAGTTGTTCTACCTCCAGTAAATTTAGCTATTTTGCAAGACGAACAGGCAAAATGTTCACTGACTGCATCCGCAAAATTGATTGATGCATAGTATAAATACTTGCGGATGTAAATACAGCAAAAGAAGGCTACTAACAATACAACTGTTGACAATACTTTTACAAACATTTATGTGGAAACACAAGTAATAACATTTGATGTCAGCAATGCTGTTTTTTCGTGTTGGTATTTCATAAAAAACCCTGATAAAGATCAATCACTTACACATAACAACTTTGAAACAGTTTCTAGTGGCATGAATACTTTGCAGCCCAAAGCACCTGAATTAATGTAAAAGGATTATTTAACAACATCTATTCTCGGCTGTGGAGCAATCAGGGACCATTCATGCACTTTCTCCAACTAAGAGCTCTATTTAAGGCTATCATGTTGCAATAAGATAGATGCTTTGCACTCAACAGGCCTTATTTTATGCTGCATGTACCCAAAAGGCTGTTTTAGTTTGATGGTTCAAAGAGAACACTGTAGCTGGGGCTGCATATCTTATGCTCTTCCACATACAATACATATATAGCATTATGGTAAAACTGGTCTGTACTTATATATAGCCTTTTTAAGTCAGAAGACTGGACCAAAGAGCTTTACACTACATTCAGTAATTCAACCATTCACACAAATACTGATGGACATTATAGAAAGCTACCCTGGGGCTCACTGACAGAAGCAAGGCTGCCGTACACTGGCATAGGCATCAGTTGCAATTCAGGTGAAGGACACAACGGCACCGAAAGCCAGAGCCGGGACTTGAACCGACAAACCTCTGCATGCAGGGCAAACTCCTTCATCTGACACCACTTCCTACTACGAGTATTGTCAGGAATTTCTAAATGCTACAGAATTGTTAGAATAAGGTAGATAAGATGATTGTCACTTACAGTTTACCCTGAGAATACTCCAACTCAGATAGTTCTTCATCTAAACAGTCATCTTTTTTAAGATGCCGTGTTTAGATCATGTGCATTGTAGCTGGTAATTCCTGGTAAGTCTGTTATACAGAGATGAACCCAAGAGAAGTTTGGAGGAGTTATCAAGGAACAAATCTTGCCAAAAGATTTTGTGTTCTAGCGTAGAAATTAGAATTATTTCAAAATTATTTCAAAAGTTGATGCATTCACCTATAATTAATCTTCTCCATGGTTTACTATTTACTTTTACTTCTGATGTTCACTTGTCAAATTTTCTCACAAGTTTAAAGGAATACCAAGCTTTTTTGAAAAACAAATTCTGTAAATTGTATTTTCCTTTATTTAACAAGAAACCATCTTACACATAATGACTACAAATTATACAAAACCACAAAATAGCCAATTACTGGCAGCAGGTAGGGAGAACTGACACAAACCAATGTATAAAAAAATGTTGAGGATACAAGCAGAGCACAGATTGGGTTTCTCCTTTAACTGTTAAAGCTTCCTTTATTTAGTATTTATAATCAACCATAGAACTTTTAGACCATGCTTGAAGTTTATAGGGGTCATAGAATGCAAAACCGAGTTTACATTGTCATAGATGAATAACAATAGTTCAGTG